TCTTGTTAGTAATCAGGCTATTCGCTGCTGGTTTCCTGTTTTAACAGGGCCCAACTGAAAAGGCTTCTGGCCAGGCTCCACCACTGGACCATTGGCTTACTGTTATTTACACCCAGAATACAGGCTTGTGGACACGGCGAGTAGCCCCAGCTGACCTATCAATTTATTTCATCTTAAAGGCAAGCTAGCGCCGGGTTATTTCACATCTCCTCCTCAATACGTTCAATCTAAACCAAACTGCTTTTACAGGAGTAAAAGCACGAGTTCATTTGCAGAGAGCTCTGAGAAACAACACAAAATCACAATTCTCCACTCCCGCCATCACCACTCAGCTGAGCAGTCCACGCTATTAACGATGACCTAAGAACTACACGATCAGCATCCCTTCTTTATAAATTACTTTATCCTCCTGGCTTCCCAGCTGAAGTCATACGCATGATTGAATGTGCGCTGTTGCATTGTATCACAGCCCAAAGACTTTACAGGTCCTCCCCTCATCAGCTCAGGGAAGATCACACGGAGGATCTCGAGTCAGGGCTCAGCACCCAACCGTTAACAGCTTGAAAGAACTTGGGCAAAAAGTACAGCGATGACTAAAGGTGATTTCAAAATAAACTACTGCTACTTAAGAAGGCATGCTGAAATACTTTGAGGGGGAGGACGAAGTATTTAGAGAGGCTGAGACAAATGAAATGGAAGTTAAACAAAAGAAAAATTGAGGTTTGAGTAGCAGGGAAAAAAAACAAATTGTCCCATTGTGTCGAGGAAGAGCTTCACAGAGGAAGTGGCAGAAGCCAATTGTTATTCAAACCAGGACAAAGTATATCACAAGGAACAATCTCTGCCCTCCAGAGAGGGGATGGACAAAAAAAAAAAAAAAAAATCACCTTACGGAAACCCTCTCACCCCCTTAGGGTTCTCTGAATTTCTTAAACCGGATTTTTTTTACGAGCACAGATAAACAGAACCGGTTCCCATCTAAGGCCCCGATCCTGTTGTAACCAAGTTCAGTAGGATTCCTCACATGTATAAACTTGAGCACATGCCTGTGTCTTTGCGAGACCGTATTCTACATCAGCTAATTAACAATCTGAATATGTTCGAGTGATTGTTATCACATTATTTGTAAATGGAACTATTCACAGAAGAGTCCTCGGTGTTTTAATCCACAGCCTGTTAGCTAAAAAAAAAAAAAAAAAAATCCAACATGTAAACAAAAAAAACTTAACTAAAGTTTAATGTGAATTTAAAATCCACCAACAAAATAAATTAGTTTAAAATTATTCATAAGTAACCAAGAACTACAAAGATGCAGAAGGGAATTTCCACAGTAAAAAAAAAAAAACCCCACACGTACTCCTCTGAATAGGTTTCATAATTGAGGAACCAGCTTATTTGTTTTCCTCCGCATTTCACAGCTTGTGCTCTATCACTTCTAAAGCAGCCAGCCTTGGCTACAATATACTTTTTTTTTTTTCTTTAAACGGGATTTTTCTAGGAGCACAAGCAAGAAATCTGTAACAAAGTCACTCATTGAAACTTCTTGAATGAGCCTCAAATGCCAGGAGGTCACAAATAACTACAAGCCGAATCTTTAATAAAACAAAGGCACCCTAGCCCTAACATCTTTTTAAAAGTTTCCCTCTTTGTCTCCTCACCTTTTAATTTCTGCCACGCAAACCCCAGGCCTATGGCCCCTCGCAAAAGTTCTCCCTCCCGCCTGTCACCTTTCATTGTTTCCATTGTTTCAGCCCAGGACTTGCAATCCTCAAAGCAGATCTTCACACACACACACAAAACCCTACACATGCATACCTAGAAACTACGTCAGCGTTTTTCACACGCATTTATTTCGGGGGTGGCAAGAACAACAGTTGAAAGTGCAGGGAGTTTGGTATTTCACCAACTAGCAGCTGCCCTCGGGGAAAGAAGCCTGAACAATGGAAGCAACAGCAGACAGGAAACCAGCTCACCACTGCTGTGCAAATAGGGAGCATAGGAATGTCCTAAAAATAACTGGGCTAAATTAATTCAGCGAAACCATTAAAAAAAGAAAAAAAAAAAGAAAACCTGCTTGCAATAAGGTTAAGAATCTCATCCCACTTAAGACGACCGAAACATTCTAAAGCCAGTACTGTCACTGTCTCCAGGCACAGCCGGCTGAGCTCGCTGTGCAGCGCATGTTGTACTGTACAAATCCGTGCCGCTGGCAGGCAGGCTGCAACGCGCCCGACTCCTGCGGGAACCGGGAACGCTGCGCTTTTAAACACCACCCCTGCAAGCTGTTTAAACTTCGTCTTTGTGGCTAAATCCCCTTTGTGTGTGCTCCTCTGAGATGAGCGGCACGTCCGAAGCTTCTTACGAGGGCTACAAACCATATTAGTACATCACGTTTCCAGCAGCCCAATGATTTCACGAACTACATATGCGTTAATTGCTCCGAGGACACTAACAATAAGCGAGGCTGCTCTACTATAGAGCC